TGCTGAATCGATCTTGCACACCTTCAAGTAATGGTTAAGTAGCTATGTTTATCGTTTCAACTTAGTTACAGTATTCCGAAGAAGAGAACCGAAATGATCATTTAGTCAGTCTCACAGATTGGAGACTTTTATATAAAAGGTTGGCTTTGCAATAAATTAATTATTAACGGAGGAAGGAAATTGATGAAGGTACCCACTAAATAAGTATTTGAAGCTCACTCACGTTCCTGAAAGAAGTTGATGTATCTTCCAGTCTTCCTGATAGGCAGTAGGCTCATAATTCATATTCCATGCATTGCATTGCATGAAGAACAATACGAGTGACGAGTGAAATTTAAATGGTCTCATCCAGGCTTGAAGACTAAGGTATTCGGAAATTTTGAAAACAGCCGAAATTATAGAAATGTTAATAACATTTGGCACCCTCATTTGAAAAATGATCTTAATTTGCAGACTAGTGTTCTCAGGTTTGAACCCACATGATACCTTAGTAGTGTGTGAGAGAAACTCTCCAAAGAATCTGAGCATTACTTGAGGGATGTTGAGAGGACTCGAGCGGCTATATCTCGAAATCTCGAAGAATAAGGAAAAAAAAAGGGTTAAAATTCGGAGCAATTGGAGGCCCAAAGATTTGCATATATGGGCTAGGATGGGCTTGGGCTTCTCACTTGAGTTCAAGCCTGTGCCTCTGGCGTCTAGGGTTTCAGTTGCAATTGGCCCTATAAAAGGAGCACGAAAGCTTACAACTCAACTCGCGAACCGAACCTTATGCTTCTTGTTGCTTCGGTGCTGGATTCGTCGTCTTCACCAAATCTCATCATACTCTTGTTGTTTCGGTGCTAGAGTCTTCTTCTTCCCCAAACCCTAGTGATTCTGTGTATCTATCATCTATGTATGGATCTGAGGCCTAAAATTGCAATTGTTTGATCTTTGTGGATCAAGGAATCTATCCTTAGGCTATAGTGAATCCCCTACATTCGTATTTTATCATATATATATATGTATGTATTCAACCTTTAGCTCCGATTTTCCTTTTTTTCCATATAGGATATTATCGGTGACAAGGTTGATACATTTATTTTTATTTTTTTCTTCAAATTTAGATTTATTTTCTGGGTGCAGCGAGGGAGGTGTGATGTTGGATGATGAAAAAAATCGGACGGATTCCCAATGATAACATTATTGTATGATATTAAACCAGCTACTTCTGACTACATCCTTCCCTCCCTCTCGCGTCCTCCAAAATTTTCTTGTTTTTCACTTTTAACATCTCATTATTATTACTTCTTCCGAATATCTTCAAGACTAAATCTTGGAGATTGAATAGTTTTGGGCCGCTGATGTAGATCAATATTTGCTACTCTTGATGGGATCCTCGATGATCCCATCTGATGATTCTTATCCACCAAGATCTCTGAGGCCTACCTTTTTTTTTTTTTCCTTTCAATATTCTCGAACGTCTCTTTTCATAAATTTGTAGATCAGTTTGATAATCATTTCAATTTTAGTTTTTAGTTTTTATATTGTGACAACGGGGTTAGGATACGATTGAGAGAGATGATGCGTGTAAGGAGTTGTTTTCACTTTTGTTACTTATCCCGATCCTAATTGGCAATCAATTTATCAAGAGACTGATTCGAGGTCAGGTAATGTATGTGTGACTGATATGCTCCCAACAATGAACATACGACGTGCGATACAGGTAGGGCTGGACAGGAGTAGAATTGCAAATGGCATAGAGACCTATGCTGAGGGCATGCTGAAAAGCTCAGCATGAAAAATAATGTCCCAAGCAGAACAGAAACTAATAAAGATATCCTCCGTAAAATAATCTTTTACAAATTTGTCCAATATTGAGTTTTTGTAAATCTGAACGATAATGAAGTTTGTGTATTACTAGTACTGTGGACTGTCGGTGGTAGAACTGCATGATATCGGCTTGATTATATGCACTGTGGTGTTTGTCAGCGGTGTCGTGAATTAAAAGAGGGTTATATATTCATACTAAACCAAATAATAAAATAATAAAAAATTATAAAGAAACTCTAAGATCACCGTCTCAAATTTTATCTATAGCAACTTAGGGCCCGTTTGAGACTGTTTCTCTAAGAAACACTTCTACTTATAAGTGCTTCTATCAAAAGTGGTTTTTATTATGAAGACTAAATTTTTCTGCCAAACGTTGTTAGAAACGCTTTTTGGTTGTCAAAAAGCGCTTTTAACTATTCCGTAAACACTCCCAAACGGGCCTGTACTTTTCAATTAGGAATTCAAACATTTGCGTTGTGTGGCATTTGGAGTTCTGTGTAGCTGTTTGTTTCTTTACATTGTGTTATTCTTACTTAGCCTATACAAGGGATTGGATTTCGATTAATTTGGTGCTTGTATTTGGTGTTTGTTTATTGAGAAAGCAAACAATTAAGTTTTTGGTTACTGAGAATATGTTATAGTAGTTGCTTCTTTGTTTAGCACAGCTGTAACAATAGTAATAACAGTTTAGGTATGAGCAAGTATTCTCATCTCACCTTCCCTTTTTGACTCCTATAGTTGAGCTTGCTAGATTTTGGTCTAGTTTCAATTTTCAATGCATTCAAATATGGATGATTGGCATGGCATGGCATGATTTGTGATCTTGATAAGAAATTCTTTTACCAAGTATAGTATTTAGTTGATCTTGCTAGATTTCTGTCCACATTTTTCAGTTCCAATTTTGTGATGTAAAGATTCCGGCTAAAAGCATACAAGTACGGTAATGCGCCTCTCTATGAGTGTCTGGTAACCATGTATTTGAATTTGAATGATTGGCATGTTAAAGGAGGATTTGTGATCTTTACTAGAAATTCCAAGGCTTTTGCTTGTAGGAGTTGGCTAGATTAGTGTCATGATGGATTGAACTTAGAGATGATGGATCATACACAAAATTTGTCAACTGTTCATTGAAAGTAGTACCAAAAATAATGTTTGTGAATTTCTGAAGTACATAACCAATGCAATATGTTGTCTTCTTTCTAATCAATATGTTCATGTGTGCAGAGGAAGGTTATAATTGGTCAGGCTCAAACCAAGAGGCCAAACTTTGAATCTCAGATTGTGTTGGTCAGCTAATGGATTTTAATTAATGGTTTTTTAGGATAACTAGCAAATTAGTTGACTTCTGTTAGTTACCATCAGGTCCAAGCATTAGTATTTTGTAAGGACAAATGAGACATTATATATGTATTGAGTTTATGAAGCCTTATATGTCTAACATTATTGATAAGAGATGAAATTTTATGCACTATTTATTCTTGATAGCAATGATTTAACAATTTAAACATGTTACTTAATTTATTTTATGTTTAAAATAATTATTAGATGCAATGGTTAAGAAACATATTTAAGTGAAAATGAAAATACTTTTCTTTTTACCAAATACTTGAATATAAAAGTCATTTGAACATAATACATTTTTTAGTCATTATACATAACTCACATCACTTTTACATAAAAAGTTACCAAACACTAAGAAAATGATTATTATCAAATGTCAAACTGCTTTCTTTCACAGTTGATTTCTCTCAACAAATCTAACAATGATTATTTTCACAGCGCATCAATGTTAAACTAGTCCTAAGTTTAGTTATCTCGTCGCATTTTGTCAAATCTTTCTCAAAATTGGTCACCTAACCAACTTATACTTACAACATATCCACTCATGACACAAAGTAAAGCTTTCATATTTTTCTCAACGAGGCTATGCGTGTGCTGTCATTGATGGACCCTAAATGTAAAACTCTAATTGGATAAAATATGACATTATTTAGCAAATATGTGAGTTTTAGGACTAACATAAGTTGGTCATGTGATGAGTCCAATTTTCTTGTTACCAAATCCCTTGTATCTCTCTATTTCCTCCTTATTATTGTGACGTGTGGCACACAACTTAACAATAATTTAACTATGTTAACTCTCTTCAAGCTTCAGCCCTTTCTTAAAAAAAATAATTAAAATATATTAAAATACATGTTTGACCGTGGTGTTTGTTGCTATATTAAAATACATGTAAAGATTCCGGCTAAAATACATGAAGTAAAGAAATAAAATAACAGCACACGACCCCAGCGGCGGCAACCCCTTATCCTCCACAACCCAACCCCATCATCAACCTCTCCACCTCCGATGACCACAAAATGAACCCAAAAGAGGCCCACGACCAACCCCTCATGCTCTTCGCCTCTCGCTTAGTCAATCTCAGCAATCATTGTCCTCACTACCCTTCTTCCTCCTCATTCTCCTCATTCTTCACCCCAAACGATATCGTCAGTCTCCTATTCTGATGAGGGACAGACATGTCAGCATCACTTGATGGGATTGAGAATTTGGGTTCATTTTGTTCTCTCTAGGTTTCTTTTCTTTCTTTGTTTTTTCTTTGACATTTTGGGTTTTGGATTTCCATTCAATGTGTCATCTTTTCTGGTCATGAAAGTCAAAATTGAATCAGGAAAATAGGGTTGGATTTGTTATCTGTGTATGATTATATGTTTTTTTTACTTGTGAATGTTTGGTTACCTGGATGCGATGTGAATCGGGAAAATTGGGATTGGGTTGTGGAGGATAAGAGGTTGACGCCACTAGGGTTAGGTGGTGATCGTGTGTTGGGTGGCTGTTGAAGTTCAAAGGTGAGTGCTAGGATTTTATTTTTTTACTTCAACATTATCAGTCAAATATGTACTTTAATTATTTTTTTCAAAAAAAGGCTGAAGCTTGAAGAGAGTTAACAGAGTTAAATTATTGTGAAGTTGTGTCCTAGATGTCATAAAATTAAGGAGGAAACATGAGGGCACAAGGGATTTGGTAACAGAAAAATTGAACTCTCATGTGATTGGGCTGAAGCCTAAACTCATCATGGCCTTGGTGCTTAGGCCAAATTGATGAGTTATACAATTCATGGCCCTGGATTGGTACAGATCAAGCTGAGGTCATTCTATAGTGAGGATGTCATATATATATATTATAAATGTGGACTTTCATATTACCCATATGATTCATTTGAATAGTAACTTTATTGTAGAAATTTGCAATTTGCAATTTGCAATGTGAATGAATGTGAATTTAGAGTGAGGTGCTTGATTGAAAGGGATCTGAAACGTGGCAGCCTATTATAGGGCCTTGATGAAAGTAGCTCGTCAACGAAGCAACGCCAGCTAAGATTCCAATAATGACCCTTTCGGCTGGTGGAGTTAAGCGGAGGGGCGAGGGTTATTACGGGGAAGTATATATAGAAAACGAGGGTAAGAAGATATCCGAACGCAACCTGGCCTCATAAGCTCCCAGATCCTTCCTACCCACACCGACACAAGCTCTCTCTCTTCCTCTCTAAAAATCCCCTCCTCCTCATTCTCTCCTCATCCTTTTAAGCTTCACAATACAAATTTCTTATATAAAAACACACTTCAATTTAAAATCTTCCCGCTTCTCTTAACCCAACACCACCCTTTCTCGCTCGATCGATTTCCCCTGAAATCACCGCAGATCTGTGCTACCCAAAAGGTCCGATTTCTTTTCAAACTTGAAACTTGTAAACAACACAACCCTCGTTCCTGATTTGATCTTTCATGCTTTATCTTCTCCTCAAATAAATCTGGAAGATCGTAACTATTTAAACCCATTTTATATTACTAATGATAATTAAACAATCATCCCTAAATAAGGTTGATCTGATTTTCTCAAACATGAAAGATTTACCCTTTCACAAGAATCACAACTCCTCTTTTTTGCGTGTTTTCATTTGTTGTGTGCGTATTTTTGTTCGATCTTCTCCTTTGTCTTCTTGAAACGAAAAAATGGATAGATTATTATTATTATTATTTATATGTGAAAAAAGAAATTATGTTTAGTTTACCCCTTATTTAAAATGACATATGAGATGTGAGTACGTAGGATATGTCAAATTCGTTGATGTGATTGTGTGTAATTGTGTTATGGTTTATATACAGTGGAAGCGCAAGGTCTCACTCAATACAAAAAATAGAACAAGGGAATGGCAGAACAAGGGTTAGAAGGAAGCCAACCAGTAGATCTCAAGAAGCACCCTTCTGGAATTGTCCCTACTCTCCAGTGAGTCCCAATTCCTTGTTCACAACCTGCTTTCTAATTCATGTTATGGGTTGTCATGCCTAGTTAAGATATGATTCGATTTTCATAACCATTCAAAACTAGTATTTCTTTTAATGCCCTTTCTTGTAGTTACCAATGTTTTATGATTTATAGAGTTTATCCGTGAAAAGTTGAGGACTTTGTGCTACCCACGAAAAGTGATTGTAATTTTCTCTAATTCTGTACTTGGAATTAACATGCTCTCTAGTTTGCGTCTATGCTGCGTGTGAATGCATCCCTCGTAACGTTGTCTTTACTACGGTTACACTTTTTCCTTGTTTCTCCAACAAACCAGTCTTTTGTGTTTCCTCCTTTTTCTGTCTCTACACTTGTTGTGTGTTCATCTCGCGTTAGATTGTTTGTTGTGCTTATGTGCCAATATAAATGTTCATCCATGGAACCGTTGAATTTAAATTACATGATTATGTGTGCTGTATGCCAAATTTTTGGGTCAAGCTCTCTCTGATTATATATTTCGTGTAACTATGAGCGGTTTTCTCAAATTGCTTCATGCATTTAATAAGTTGAGTGTGTTTTTGGCTTAATTATTTTATGCGTTACCTGGAAAACAATAAAGGTGTTGTCTGTTCTCTCAGGAATATTGTCTCCACAGTAAATTTAGACTGCAAATTGGATCTCAAGGCCATTGCACTGCAAGCTCGTAACGCTGAATACAACCCCAAGGCATGTGCCTTTGTTTGTCAAGTACAATAAAGTTCGGGTATTTTTGTAGCTCCTTGGTAGAGCATCTTTGCCTGTTAGTATGGAGCTTCACTAGTTGGGATTTTATAAGTTTAGATGCTAGAGTTGCTATAATATCCATATACACTAAAGAGAATTTTCTTGTTCTAAATTACCTGTTAGATTGCAAATTAATTGTGGTGTACCCTTGCAGCGTTTTGCAGCTGTGATTATGAGAATAAGAGAACCGAAGACGACTGCATTGATATTTGCATCTGGTAAGATGGTAAGTCTCAGTTTAAAACCAAACATCTTGTTCCCTTCCCTTTTCATCGATTCTGCATCAAGTGCTTCATTTCACATGATGGATAGATGGGGGTTTTTTAATGTCTTGTTATGGTGTGTCTCACTCTTTCTATCTAATCGGTAATCCATGCTAATGTGAATGCCGGCACTGTGTCGTATAGGTTTGTACGGGAGCTAAGAGTGAACAACAATCAAAATTGGCAGCACGAAAGGTATTTTTATTACTATCCACATTCAGCGTGTGTGTTTTATGTAGGGACAGTTTGTCCCATATCCATTTTTCTGGCATCTGTTTGAAATTTTGTCCAGAACATTGCCATATTGGTGTTTCTGTTTAAGCTATACAGCTCTTAACACACGCAAATAGCCCTCTAATATATTTGAAATATGCTGGCATCATGACCATGTTAGTAGCGCTGTCATGGAAACATAATATTTATACAATCTTACATGAACCTCTTTGTTCTTCAGTATGCTCGAATCATCCAGAAACTCGGTTTTCCAGCTCAGTTCAAGGTACTCTCTCTCTCTCTCTCTCTCTCTCTCTCTCTCTCTCACATGCATGCTCTCTGCTACATGCTGTCACTTTATTTACTTAAATCCAGTTTCAATTTTGTGGTGCAAACAGGATTTCAAAATCCAAAATATAGTTGGTTCTTGTGACGTGAAATTTCCCATAAGACTTGAAGGCCTGGCGTATTCCCATGGTGCCTTCTCAAGTGTGAGTTTTCTGGCTGCACCTCTCTCTGTTTTTGTAATCATGTAAAAACTGAATGCCTTTGGACAAAGTTTTTCCCTGTTTATCGTCCAAGGTTGCAGGGAGTGTTTTGTGCTGGCAACAGGCTAAAAACTCCATTTACGAAAGCGTTATCTTTAGAGTTTACTTCTGTCTATGCATTTCTCTCATTGTATAGAGACATGCATCTTAAATATTCATATTTTGTCTGGGAAAAGTGTATGTGCTGTTTATCCAGAAGAATTCCACAAAATCAGTTATACTGATTGTTTTCAATTGTTGTGGGGTCAGTATGAACCAGAACTGTTCCCTGGCTTGATTTATCGGATGAAACAACCGAAGATTGTGCTTCTGATTTTTGTGTCTGGAAAAATAGTTCTTACAGGGGCGAAGGTGATAATTAGCAACGATTCTTTTGAATTTTCAATTTTTTTTCGGTTTTATATGATATTATCTTGGAACATCATCTGAAGAGCATTACCATTTCAATGCTTCAGGTAAGAGGTGAGACATATGAAGCCTTTGAGAACATTTACCCAGTTCTTACAGAATTCAGGAAAAATCAGCAATGGTATGGCACTAAACTGTTTAATTATGTTAAGATATTTCATTGCCTTGTGTTAAGTTATTTTTTTCCAATTAAAGTTCTGGTACAAACGCCAATCATGTTTTATAGGCATCGTTTTATACGGTTAGCGATTCATTTTGAACTTTTCTGGCCTGATTATTACAACTCATGTCAATTTATCTTAAAAATGACTTTTCAGATTATTTGTGGGAAGCACACAGCAGTTGTATCCGTGGGGCGGAATACTTGGCACTAGGACAGTTGGGCCTGGATTGAATTGTAAATAAGGGGATTGGGCATGGCTTGACTGGTGGATGATTATATTTAAGACTTATTTTTGGGTTACATAAGAGACGCGTGTAATTCTGCTTTCTTTGTTTTGTTTACTAATATCAGAGTAACACATGGTCTTGAACAAAATACAAAGTAAAAATGTACGTTTTAACACAATTGGAAGCAATGAAACAATGTCTCTATCGTTTTTGTTTTTGAAAAAACTTCATTGTCCACAAGGGATTGGGATTTGCTTGATTAGAACCAATGACTATATTGACAATTTCAAGACCATTAATAAGTGTGAGGGTTGAAAGTTATGATTGTAGATTGGTCCACAGGCAGGCCAATAGAGATTCATACAATCTTTGGTGGACCGTGTAATAGTCTACAATCTTTGGTGAAAAACAACCATCAGCTTCCTCTGCGAGGATGATGCTGCTTGTTTTCGGAGGCTCCAATATCCGGCCGCTATTTGCTGCCATCAACGTTGTCAGAGTCAGCATCTCTATTCGCAGAGCCAAGCCTGAAAGGAACTTTTTTTATTTTCTATGTAATTTTCACATTAATAATGTGTTCACTTCACTGATTGATCATAAGGACTGGTAATTAAAGGGTTTGGGAAAGCAAGTACGTTATTGAGGAATCATTATAGATTTTTAACGATGAAAAATATATTATTGCTGGTTTCTTTTAAATATCGGAATGGATTGAGTGAAGGAGTGAAGACATCGTACTACATTATTTCCATACTCCATCATACGGGTGCAAGGTGATAATGGAGGCAGATGGCACCTACACTAGGAAAGCAAACTAGAGAGAGAAGATAGAAGCAGACTTGATTTTACACTAGTAATTTACAGTTGATTTGATTGCATCCAATATCTGCATTCAACGAAGAAAACAAAAACCAGTATAAGCAGAGTTGGCCGGTATCAAAAGAAAACATCGTAGTAGCAAAGATTGTAGATAACTAACCTTGTTCTTGTTGGGCATATAGAAGGGCTCAAATACAAGAGGAAATGGGGTATCCAGACCACACACTCTAGCAACAGGTGCTTCCAACTACACAAAAGTTCAAAAGATCAAGTTATCCTCTAAGAGCTTAAGAGCAAACCACTGAAATATCTAAATAGAAAAGAGTGGCGAAGACTGGTGCTTGCCCTTAGGAAGCAACGTTCGACAATTGAAGCAGATATTTCAGCACCAAATCCTCCAGTAACCGGAGCTTCATGACTAATCTGAAAAAAGGACATTGGATTCGTCACTAAGAGTGCACCAACCGATTTTCAGGAAGTGTGTTCTGTATACACATATCATACTTACAAGAAGCCTTCCAGTCTTTCTGACAGAGGCCTCCACTGTGTCCTTATCCCAAGGTAAAAGAGTTCGCAGGTCTATCAGTTCACAAGAAATTCCGTCCTGAAAATTCTCACTAGTCAAATGGCATTTACACTGTCGTCTACTCTTGTACCATTATATGAACCATTCCCACATAAAATGGACCATACCAAATCAAATATAGTGATTTTACAGAGCAGAAGTGGAATACTATTTTCTAGCAGTGAGGAAAACTTACTTTTTCAGCATCCTTACAGGCCTGTTCCATTATAGATAACTGAGCTCCCCAACCAACAAGTGTTATATCGTTGCCCTCTCGAATTATCTGAGTACCGCAGTTCCAATTTTCAAGTATGAAGTTCCTTTGATTATATTAAAACCATGACTGCAATCATCATTCTTTTATTAAACATTCAAAACTTGGACTACAATGAAGCTAGCGTACCTCTGCCTCTGATAAAGGCAACATGTAATCATGCTCAGGAACCTCTTCTACTGATAATCTGTATAGCCACTGAAAACCAGGGTTTTTGTACAATCCCAAATCAAAATTTCTTGTCAAATACAATTTTTGCTAATGGATAAATTAATTTATTCAAAAACTAAAACTAAACTACCTTTGGTTCAAAAAACACAACAGGGTTTGGATCGCGTATGCAGGAAAGCAATAAGCCTTTTGCTTGCCGTGGGCTTCGAGGGATGACCACCTATATAAAAAGTTAGTACTCTTTAGATTATCTAACTGGCCTTTCCCGGGCAGCTAGAAAAAAAGTGAGAACGATAATCCTATTTCCTCTAGAAAACCTCACAGCACTGACTATTGTGAGACTAAACACGGAAAATCACTTCCAAAAATGGATGTATGCAGCTACTATCTCAAGTTACAAGCCGCTAAGCAGAACAAACTTTCAAGAGTGTGATAGAACTTTCCAACTTGATGAATGATATCACATTTCTGACTTGATTGAGACCATTTTGAAGTTTTTGTTCCAGTCGTCTCCTTGTAATGCGACTATTTAAACCAATATTGGAGGAAATGCCGGACGCGAATGATTCATGTAGTAGGATATCTGAAAGATGGGTTTCAATTTTTTGCTTTCAAGTTTGCAACGGAAAGTTTAACCCCCAGGCCCCAAAACATTTGAAAGGAAGAAGACATACTTTGATACCAGGGGCATGACAGAAGAAAGCTTCAGGAGATTGTGAATGATAATGTCCACCATGGCCCACAGCTCCATAGGGGGATCGTATTGTTAAACCTAGGGAGTAATTAAAAACATCAGCTGCACTCTACTGGAAAGAAACCTCATCATGCACAATAATATGTTGGGTTGGGGGGGAAGAAGAAAAGTATGCTTCCCACATAATTGAAAAAGGAAGTGAAGTTTCACCTCCACAATTAAATTGATTTCCACTTCGGTATCTGAACTTTGCAGCTTCATTGACAATCTACAAAGTTAAGAGTTATCCAATTAATTATCATTCGTGAAGCTATGACAGAACTCAGCACTGGAAGGGATGCATGCCTGATCAAAAGCAGGAAAAATATAATCTGCGAACTGGATTTCTGCTACAGCTCGATTACCCTATCATGTAAGATGAAACCAAATGTAGTGAGGCTCGTGGCTATTAGATAAAAATAAAAATTGAACTGAGTATGATTTTAAAGCTCATGCATAAGACTTAAATCCTCAAACTTACCATAGCAGCTAGACCAATGCCAAATCCCACAATGCCCTGAGTATAAAGACAAGTAACAATGGGGGTTATCAAATGTGCCTTTTTAGCTTATTTCATTACAAATGGTAAGGATTTCTAAGTTTCTCTTATGACTTAAGAGGTGTATGTTTATTCCAATGAAAGCAGTAGCCAGGCTGTGACAGAAAGATACCTGTTCACAGAGAGGGGTATTAAAAACCCTTTGTTTACCAAATCGATCAGCTAAGCCTGTTGTGCAACGAAAGACCCCACCAAAGCTCACATCTTCTCCAAATACATAAGCACTGTGTGAAAATGAAAAGAATTATTTGGTTAATCCATAGGAACATAAGCATACCACGGTAACTGGTAAATCACTTTAGTAAAAGCACATCGTCGTTAGATCTTACTACAAATCAAGTTATACATATTGCAGGGTCCAACATTAGCTTCAGATACAATAACACTAGCGTGTCAAAATCTAGCATGCACGTAAGTGATTACAGACTAACTCACTAGAATGAGTTACTTTTAAATGGCATTAGCAAAACACTAGAACTTGTTCTGAGTTTGAATTAAATATTTGGTACTGAAAAAGAGAAAAGCTGTATTCAAGCCAATTTAAGAACCGTTACAATTAACTGAAGACCAACATAAACAATGACTCATTATCTCAGTTAATTTCTTAGTCACAATTTCACAAAGCTCATTCTGCCGGACGTTTGTGTAAGAGGGTTTGTGAAATTGTGAGGCACTCAGTCAAATTAAAGCATAAAGGTAAGCTAAATGCGTTTTTTCTTTTTTCTCTACTTTACAGCTGTGAATTTTACAGTGCAAAGATTTAGAACAATGCAAGACACGTAAGCAAAGTTCACTGACAGTTTTACAACTCTTGTTATAGTATCTGTCTTGCCTACAGAAATATATATGTATGTGTGTGTGTGTGTGTGTGTGTGTGTGTATTTCCCTTGTGAATTGTACAATTGATACAGGTGATAGAGAGACGAAATCATCATCTGAGAAGAAGGAAGAAGAAAAGCAAAAAGAATAGCCTTGACTGACTAAATGGCACCAATAGTTGAGTGCAAAACAAACCCTATTCGGGAAACAAATAGAACACTGCATATATTCGCTATAAACTACGAAGTAGAACGGAAAAATTAAAACTTTTGAAGAAAATATGATGCGAGTGTTCCCAGAAAGTGAAAAACAATAAATAAAGAAATAGAAAGATGAATGGAAGAAAGGCATATGATTATGATATGCGGTACCGTGGATCAGTTTCCAAGGCGATGTGGAGCGCTTGGTTGATGGCAGAGTAGAGGTTCAATGATTTCCCACTCGCAATTTGCTGAACCATCATTTCATCACAAGAGGAGGAGGAGGAGGTTGAAAATGGCCTCCTACCATTACCACCAACCCATTTGACCAATCTTCCAAACCTCCTCAGGCCCATTTCGTTTCGAGTTTTAAACAATCACTCAAAAAATAACAAACAAACAGAGAACTCTCTCTCCCTCTCTCTCAGATATGAGAAGTGAGCATGTACTTACACTTGATGTAATGCCAATCCCTACTAGTTTCCTCTAAAGAGAGAGAGAGAGAGAAAGTGTTGATCTTATCTCTTGATTTGTCATTTCACCATCATCATGTCATTGTTCAGATTTGGTATCCTTTCTTATTATTTTATAACTAGCATATCCGCACGCGCTTTGTGCATGCAGAAGATTTTTTTAAAAGAAATTTAAATTTATTTTAGAATTAAAAAAGATAATGAATAGTTGTCTTCTATAAAATAAGATCAATTATCTGATTTTTCTTTTAATTTTAATTTTTTAAATATAAAAAAGTATAAATTTATTATATTATTCTTATTTAATTAATAATTTAAATTTTTAATGTTTACATTAACTAATGACATTTTATGTTATTTTGAAGGTTTTACCATTATCTACCTTTTGCTTTATATATATAGATAATAATACAATAATGCTACATGCATTACTACTACTAGTGCTACATGTGTTGAGTCACGTTCAAATTCTTATTTGGCCGTTGAATTGCATTCATTAAATTTGTTAGTAGTATTTTAGATGCAATCCAACGATCGAGATTAAACATATGTAACTAATCCTTTACTTAAATACTTAGGGCCAATTTGACATTACTGTGCTGTGAAAATAATCGTTGTTAGATTTGCTGTGAGAGAAAGCAGTTTGGTATTTGGTAAACTTTTTGTTAAAAGTGTTGTTGATACTGATTCTCACATAATCAGAAAATGATTCCAGTATAATCATTAAACTTAGCTCCTCTTGGAAACTGATCCATGTATAATCAGAAAATGAAAGCACCTCATTAACTATTTTTCCTTATAACTTTCTCTCATAACCATTTTTAACAATAAGTGATTTTCTCATAGTTTACCAAATGTTGAGTAGGTGGCTTCATGCTTATATATTTTCAACATTGTTTGCTAGGATGGTTCTCAAAGAAGAATCTGAAAAATGATGTATATATGGTTAGCTAAACTGACTACTCAAGCACCGTGTTCATTGATTTTGTAAGACACAATTGGATGTCAAAACGGTTTCCAATTTGTCTAATTTTTTTTATAAGGATGATCTATGAATTTAGACCTAAAAAATAGATGGTTTGGGTCATTGGGAAAAAAATTGTAGGGTACCCTAATAGACATCCCT